TAAAGAATTACCAGACATGGGTAAAGAATTACCAGACATGGGTAAAGAATTACCAGACATGGGTAAATAATTACCAGACATGGGGTAAAGAATTACCAGACATGGGTAAATAATTGCCAGACATGGGTAAATAATTGCCAGACATGGGTAAAGAATTACCAGACATAGGTAAATAATTACCAGACATGGGTAAATAATTACCAGACATGGGGTAAAGAATTACCAGACATGGGTAAAGACTTACCAGACATGGGGTAAAGAATTACCAGACATGGGTAAATAATTACCAGACATGGGGTAAAGAATTACCAGACATGGATAAATAATTACCAGACATGGGTAAAGACTTACCAGACAGGCGTAAAGAGAGTAGCCGTGGGGGGAAGGGGACCAGAGAAGTTATAATGCCATGAGGTAAAAAGCGAGAAGCTGAAGCATCAATGGCTGAGACACACACTATTTCACTTACGTAAATAACCCAACTACAGCAGTTGAGTCTTGTATGACAATGTCTGCAGACGGTGCACAATTAACGAGGTGACATAAGACTTGTAAGATTACCCAGGATAAATTAAACAACCTGTAGAGATGGTCCAAGAAATGGCTACTGGAGTTCGACACCAGCCAGTGTAAGGTGATAGAAATGGGAACAAGGGGTTCAGGAGACCAGAAGGGACAGTACACTAAGAAGGGGAACCACCTCCCTGTAAAGACTAGAAAAAGGCCTGAGTGTGGACCAAACCTAACTCCAGAGGTCCATATAAATTAAATATCAGCTGCTTACTCTTAGCTAGCAAAAGTTGGGACAGTATTCAGGAACGTAAAACGACTCATTAAGATCACTACTACACACCGCCTGAGACCAATTTTAGATTCAAATCAAATCAAATGTTTATTCAGGTAAAGTACATATATACAAGGTGAGATATAAACATTGATGTATTTATAGATAGAGCTAGTACATACAGTGCCTAAAGCCACTGTTACGCAAAGCGTTTCGGGCTTATGCCGGCCAGTTGTGGAACCCATCTACAACACACAAGGACACTCTAAAAGTTCAAAAGTTTGCAAAAAAGGTTCGTTTCAGAATTCCGAGGGATGGGGTATGAAGCTAGACTGAACGAACTGAACCTGACGATGCTAGAAAAAGAGGAGAGAAAAGGACGGACGGACAGGCGCGCGCACGCATACACACACACACACACACACACACACACACACACACACACACACACACACACACACACACACACACACACACAATGTGTGTGTGTGTGTGTGTGTGTAATGAAACTAGGCAGTGGAAACAGGAGGCCAGGCACAGGATACAGAATAGGAGATGAAGTACTTAATGAAACAGACAGAGAGAAAGATCTAGGAGTTGATATCACACCAAACCTGTCTCCTGAAGCCCACATAAAGAGAATAACGTCTGCGGCATATGCGAGGCTGGCTAACATCAGAACGGCGTTCAGGAACCTGTGTAAGGAATCATTCAGAATCTTGTACACCACATATGTAAGACCAATCCTGGAGTATGCGGCCCCAGCATGGAGCCCGTACCTTGTCAAGCACAAGACGAAGCTGGAAAAAGTCCAAAGGTATGCTACTAGACTAGTCCCAGAACTAAGAGGCATGAGTTATGAGGAAAGGCTGCGGGAAATGCACCTCACGACACTGGAAGACAGAAGAGTAAGGGGAGACATGATCACAACCTACAAAATCCTCAGGGGAATCGACCGGGTAAACAAGGACGAACTTTTCAACACTGGTGGGACGCGAACAAGGGGACACAGGTGGAAGCTGAGTACCCAAATGAGCCACAGAGACGTTAGAAAGAACTTTTTCAGTGTCAGAGTAGTTAGCAAATGGAATGCAATGTGGTGGAGGCTGACTCCATTCACAGTTTCAAATGTAGATATGATAGAGCCCAATAGGCTCAGGAATCTGTACACCAGTTGATTGACGGTTGAGAGGCGGGACCAAAGAGCCAGAGCTCAACCCCCGCAAGCACAATTAGGTGAGTACAATTAGGTGAGTACACACACACACACACACACACACACACACACACACACACACACACACACACACACACACACCACACACACGTGACAGAACGCGGGGAGGATTAACTGGGAACCAATCTATAACTGTTTGCCCCTGTTCACCCAGCAGTAATTGGGAGTAAAAGAGATTGGCGGGTCGTGTTCCAGGGAACTGTAGTTAGGTAAGGCTTATCATTAGCTATGAGAAAGGACAGCTCTCAATCTGCTACCAGATGTCAGAAGACGTCTACAGCTTCACTCATTTGTGTCAGAGAAAGCGGGAAAGGTGGGCCCTCCTTCTCTCTCAGGAAGGGGGGGGGGCCTCTTTCTCTCTGGGGAAGGGGGGGCCTCTTTCTCTCTGAGGAAGGGGGGGGAGCCCTCTTTCTCTCTGAGGAAGGGGGGGAGCCCTCTTTCTCTCTCAGGAAGGGGGGGGCCTCTTTCTCTCTGGGGAAGGGGGGGTCTCTTTCTCTCTGGGGAAGGGGGGAGCCCTCTTTCTCTCTGAGGAAGGGGGGGGGGAGCCCTCTTTCTCTCTGAGGAAGGGGGAGCCCTCTTTCTCTCTGGGGAAGGGGGGCCTCTTCTCTCTGTGGAAGGGGGGAGCCCTCTTTCTCTCTGGGAAAGTGGGCCCCCTCTTTCTCTCTGGGGAATGGGGGACCTCTTTCTCTCTGAGGAAGGGGGGGACCTCTTTCTCTCTGGGAAAGGGGGGGGGGAGTCCTCTTTCTCTCTGGGGGAGAAGAGAGAGCGGGAGGCAGGCTTACAAAGAATATACTAAGGAATTCTCTTTTGTATAAGCTATATATCCCTATTATCAACATCTGAGGATAGTCTATGAAATCCTTATAAAAAAAATATACTAATATCTAAAAAAAAAATATTTAAAGAAGGATATATCTTCCGAAATTCGTTCCCGCGCAAAAAGAGCATCTTTTATGAAAGTGAATATCCTCTTCCGTTTAGGATAAAGTAGGATATCCTGGTAAAATCCTTCCCTTGAAAATATTTCACGGAAAACGGCTCGTACTCTCTTGTCGAGGATTAAAGGAGATATATCTCTCCTCCAAGTGGTTCACCGAACGTTCTTGTCTAGCGATAGAGGGTGCTGGAGGGCGGCGGTAGATGGCGCCGTTGTTGTCTCTGGCGAAGGGTGCTTTTGGCGGGAAAGGTGGCGGGCCGGGGGGAGGATGTCATTCTAGAAACCCCAGGAGAGGTCTTTTTTCAGGGGGATGTCATTGTAGAAACCCCAGGCGAGGCCTTTTTTTCAGGGGGATGTCATTGTAGAAACCCCAGAAGAGGCCTTTTTTCAGGGGGATGTCATTGTAGAAACCCCAGGTGAGGGTTTTTTTCAGGGGGATGTCATTGTAGAAACCCCAGGCGAGGTCTTTTTTCAGGGGGATGTCATTGTAGAAACCCCAGGAGAGGTCTTTTTTCAAGGGGGATGTCATTGTAGAAACCCCAGGCGAGGTCTTTTTTCAGGGGGATGTCATTGTAGAAACCCCAGGCGAGGTCTTTTTTCAGGGGGATGTCATTGTAGAAACCCCAGGCGAGGTCTTTTTTCAGGGGGATGTCATTGTAGAAACCCCAGGCGAGAATTGCTTGGGGGGGACATAGTCCTCCTCGACACCCCACGCTGTAGGCTCAAGGATACGTGGTCACGAAGCACTAACATGGAATCCCACACCACAAGACGCCCCACCACCACCACCCAAGACGTCCTGGTCCCCTACATCAAGGCCCTCCACAGCACCTGCTGGGAGAACCAGTTCGTCGTGGCAGACTATAGGCCTAAGCGATCCAGTCCTACATTACACACATTATCAACGTCTTAAAACCCAATTATGCCATCTTGAGGTTATCTTGAGATGATTTCGGGGCTTTTTAGTGTCCCCGCGGCCCGGTCCTCGACCAGGCCTCCACCCCCAGGAAGCAGCCCGTGACAGCTGACTAACTCCCAGGTACCTATTTACTGCTAGGTAACAGGGGCATTCAGGGTGAAAGAAACTTTGCCCATTTGTTTCTGCCTCGTGCGGGAATCGAACCCGCGCCACAGAATTACGAGTCCTGCGCGCTATCCACCAGGCTACGAGGCCCCTACGAGGCCATATGAAAAGGTAGATAGGAACACTGTTGAATACAGATGGAAATTTTGCAGACATTATATACACATTAAACAAAGGCCAAGAGGGAAGTCGCTGGGGTTCGTATCCTGGCCGGGGAGGATTGACTAGGTGCCAATCCTTGACTGTATGCCTCTGTTCACCCAGCGGTGAATGGGTACCTGCTTGTTAAACGATTTGGCGGGTCGTATTCCAGGGAAAATTAAGTTTAGGGACCTGCCCGAAACGCCATGTGTGTGTGTGTCTTACAAGGATGTGAGAACTCTTGTATAGTTAGGACGCGGGGTCTAAGAGCCTGGACCTCAGCCTCGAACAAATGTAAACAAAGAAACTCCTTTCCGCGCTAATATCCGTAGCATCAGCAGGATTATCACATTGGGAGAGCGCTACCATTTATGGTTAACTACGCCAACCCAGACACGCATGGTATTTACAGAACAGCTGTGATGGGTGACGAGGAAGGGGAATGGGTGGCCAGGAAGGGGAAGAATGGGTGGCGAGAAGGGGAAGAATGGGTAGCCAGGAAGGGGAAGAATGAGTGGCGAGGAAGCTGGGAATCTAAAAAAAATCTTAGTCCCCCCTCCTTCCATCCCTCAGTCTCCATTCTCCTTCAAGTCTTCCAATCACTCGCTGTCGCTTTCCTTTCCTGTCTTACCACTGCCATTTTCCATTCCATCTCATCTCCCTCGCCTCCTTTCCCATATTTCTTTCCTTCCCCCCCCCTCTCCCTCGACCTTCTCGCAGCACAATAGCAGTATCTCGGTCCTCCTTAATTTCCCTGTGATCTTCCCTCTGTATTTTATCGTTTCCCCTCAGTCTTCATTTGTTCCCGACCCCTTCTTCACCCCTCGGGCCGCCGCCTCGCCTCTGGCATTCGCCTTTTCTCCCAGAGCCTCTCGGAGCTTTCCAGAGCCTCTCGGAGCCTCTCGGAGCCTTCCAGAGCTTCCCAGAGCCTTCCAGAGCCTTCCAGAGCCTCTTGGAGCATCCCCGAGCCTCTTGGAGCCTCTTGGAGCCTCCCCGAGCCTCTTGGAATGTTCCTGAGCCTCTTGGAGCTTCCCAGTGCCTCTCGAGGCCTCTTGGAGCCTCCTCGAGCCTCTTGAGTGTGTTCCTGAGCCTCTTGAAGCGTTCTCGAGCCTCTTGGAGCCTCTCGGAGCGTCCCTGAGCCTCTCCAAGCCTCTTGGAGCCTCTCCAAGCCTCTTGGAGCCTCTCCAAGCCTCTTGGAGCTTCTCGGAGCCTCCCTGAGCCTCTCCAAACCTCCCTGAGCCTCTCCAAGCCTCTTGGAGCCTCTCGGAGCCTCTTGGAGCCTCTCGGAGCCTCCCTGAGCGTCTCCAAGCCTCTTGGAGCCTCTCGGAGCCTCCCTGAGCCTCCTCTGATCAATCTGGATAACCTGACTCCCATTTCGAATCGCTTGGCCCACTTTAGTCATGTCTTTTCCATCAGTATTATCTGACCCCTTTCGTATATATCCACCGTCCCCACCTCCCCCTTTAGCCCCCCCTTGTCCCCTTTTTTAGTCCCATCGCTCCCCCCCTTCCCTTAGCCCCCCTAAGGGGGTTCAAACCCCCCCCTCTCTATCCTCTCAGAGACCCCCTAGCTCCTCGGGGTCGCCTCGGTTCTTCCTGACAGTGATCTTGGTGTCCCAAATCCCCCCTGGAAGAGTTCGTAAACATGGGTAGGGAGAGAGAGAGATAGAGAGAGAGAAGGAGGGAGGGAGGGAGGGAGGGGGAGAGAGGGAGGGAGGGAGGAAGGGGGAGAGAGAGAGCGTGCGCGCGCCAGCCACACGCCAGCAAAAGACCCGTTATAAAAGCAGGATTCCTTGGAACAATTTCGAATCGCTAAAGGTATATTGGCGGAGGATTTACGCAGTGTAGCGATCAAAGGGATTTTGAAAGCCGCGCTCAATCCCTCCCTCCCTCCCCTCTCCTCCCTCTCTCCCCTCTCTCCCTCTCTCTCTCTCTCTCTCTCTCTCTCTCTCTCTCTCTCTCTCTCTCTCTCTCTCTCTGTCTCTGTCTCTGTCTCTGTCTGTCTCTGTCTCTGTGTCTCTATCTCTGTGTCTCTGTCTCTGTCTCTCTGTCTCTCTGTCTCTCTGTCTCTGGTCTCTGTCTCTGTCTCTGTCTCTGTCTCTGTGTCTCTGTCTCTGTCTCTGTCTCTGTGTCTCTGTCTCTGTCTCTCTGTCTCTGTCTCTGTCTCGTCTCTGTCTGTCTGTCTGTCTGTCTGTCTGTCTGTCTGTCTGTCTGTCTCTCTGTCTCTCTGTCTCTCTCTGTCTCTCTCATCTGTCTCTCTCTGTCTCTCTCTGTCTCTCTCTCTCTCTCTCTCTCTCTCTCTCTCTCTCTCTCTCTCTCTCTCTCCTCTTTCTCTCTCTCTCTCTCTCTCTCTCTCTCTCTCTCTCCTCTATCTCTCTCTCCCTCTCTTTTATCCTGCAGGTTGGCGATTATTGCCACAAGACGCGTTCAGAAGAGGCGCTTTTGACCGCATTCCTTCTAGCGGAGACTGCCACTACATCCTACTGTGGCGGCCGACCTTGCGGCCAGGTGTGGTGTAGCTCTCTTATGCTCCCACAGAGGAGCTGATTCGCTCTATATTTCCCGATATTTCTGGGCGTAGACAAAAGAGCGGGATTTGCACACTAATGTCTTCGAGGAGATTTATATATCAAGGGGCGTCTTGTGCTCGGGGTGGGGTGGGGGTGGGTAGAGGATGGGGGTGAGGGTATAAGGGGTAGTTGTGAGTACTTGTAGTAGTAGTAGGGGGGAGGGGGGGAAGAGGATGGGGGGAGGGTATAAGGGGTGGTTGTGAGTAGTTGTAGTAGTAGTAGTAGTAGGGGGGAGGGGGGAAGAGGATGGGGGAGGGTATAAGGGGTGGTTGTGAGTAGTTGTAGTAGTAGTAGTAGTAGGGGGGGAGGGGGGAAGAGGATGGGGGGAGGGTATAAGGGGGGTTGTGAGTAGTTGTAGTAGTAGTAGTAGTAGGGGGGAGGGGGGAAGAGGATGGGGGGAGTGTATAAGGGGTGGTTGTGAGTAGTTGTAGTAGTAGTAGTAGGGGGGGAGGGGGGAAGAGGATGGGGGGAGGGTATAAGGGGTGGTTGTGAGTAGTTGTAGTAGTAGTAGTAGGGGGGGAGGGGGGAAGAGGATGGGGGAGGGTATAAGGGTGGTTGTGAGTAGTTGTAGTAGTAGTAGTAGGGGGGAGGGGGGGAAGAGGATGGGGGAGGGTATAAGGGGTGGTTGTGAGTAGTTGTAGTAGTAATAGTAGGGGGGGGAAGGGGAATAATGTGTAGTTGGTGCAAGGAGTATTTAGGGCAGGTGTGGCTTGAGAACAGGTGTGTGGTTTAAGAACAGGTGTGTGACTTGGGCCAGCCAGTACCTTAACACAGCCAGTACCTTAACACAGCCAGTACCTTAACACAGCCAGTACCTTAACACACAGCCACAGCCTACCTTAACACAGCCACTACCTTAACACAGCCAGTACCTTAACACAGCCAGTACCTTAACACAGCCACTACCTTAACACAGCCAGTACCTTAACACAGCCAGTACCTTAACACAGCCAGTACCTTAACACAGCCACTACCTTAACACAGCCACTACCTTAACACAGCCACTACCTTAACACAGCCAGTACCTTAACACAGCCAGTACCTTAACACAGCCACTACCTTAACACAGCCAGTACCTTAACACAGCCAGTACCTTAACACAGTCAGTACCTTAACACAGCCAGTACCTTAACACAGCCACTACCTTAACACAGCCAGTACCTTAACACAGCCAGTACCTTAACACAGCCAGTACCTTAACACAGCCAGTACCTTAACACAGCCACTACCTTAACACAGCCAGTACCTTAACACAGCCACTACCTTAACACAGCCACTACCTTAACACAGCCAGTACCTTAACACAGCCAGTACCTTAACACAGCCAGTACCTTAACACAGCCAGTACCTTAACACAGCCAGTACCTTAACACAGCCACTACCTTAACACAGCCAGTACCTTAACACAGCCACTACCTTAACACAGCCACTACCTTAACACAGCCAGTACCTTAACACAGCCACTACCTTAACACAGCCAGTACCTTAACACAGCCAGTACCTTAACACAGCCAGTACCTTAACACAGCCACTACCTTAACACAGCCAGTACCTTAACACAGCCAGTACCTTAACACAGTGGTTGTCTTAACACAGCCAGTACCTTAACACAGCCAGTACCTTAACACAGCCACTACCTTAACACAGCCACTACCTTAACACAGCCAGTACCTTAACACAGCCAGTACCTTAACACAGTGGTTGTCTTAACACAGCCAGTACCTTAACACAGCCACTACCTTAACACAGCCAGTACCTTAACACAGCCAGTACCTTAACACAACCAGTACCTTAACACAGCCAGTACCTTAACACAGCCAGTACCTTAACACAGTGGTTGTCTTAACACAACCAGTACCTTAACACATCCACTACCTTAACACAGCCACTACCTTAACACAGCCAGTACCTTAACACAGCCAGTACCTTTGTAGAATTCCGGGTTGAAGAACGTTTGGTTCATCGAGGCTGAGTCGGTTTGTGTCTGAGAGTTACCAGAACGCTATCTTGAGGTTATCTTGAGATGATTTCGGGGCTTTAGTGTCCCCGCGGCCCGGTCTTCGACCAGGCCTCCACCCCCAGGAAGCAGCCCGTGACAGCTGACTAACACCCAGGTACCTATTTTACTGCTAGGTAACAGGGGCATAGGGTGAAAGAAACTCTGCCCATTGTTTCTCGCTGGCGCCTGGGATCGAACCCAGGACCACAGGATCACAAGTCCAGTGTGCTGTCCGCTCGGCCGACCGGCTCCCTAAACCAATGCTTGAACCAATGCTGGTTCCAGTCGCCGCATTGTTTCAAAATGATTAATTTCAGTAATAATGAATAAGGATTATTATTAATGCTAATTACTAATAAAACCCTAAATATACTGGCCTTAAATAATACATATTTTCTTAGGGAGTATCACCATGCGATGAGCAAAGGATGATTTAGTTAGGCTTTGGAGAACAATGTATTCATTACACCTCATGAGCCGGTCGGCCGAGCGGACAGCACGCTGGACTTGTGATCCTGTGGTCCTTTGTTCGATCCCAGGCGCCGGCGAGAAACAATGGGCAGAGTTTCTTTCACCCTATGCCCCTGTTACCTAGCAGTAAAATAGGTACCTGGGTGTTAGTCAGCTGTCACGGGCTGCTTCCTGGGGGTGGAGGCCTGGTCGAGGACCGGGCCGCGGGGACATTAAAGCCCCGAAATCATCTCAAGATAACATCAAGAAGATACACACATACACATACATATCCAGCAAGAGTCACATTCCCCACAACAAGGGCAGGGAAACACGCCTTTATTGACAGCCCGTGAAACTGGCCAATTACCCAAGACTGATGGAAGTAGGGCGGGAGAACTCGTAGAAAACGGGCAGTCCGCCATCACATGGTAAACATAGCGCCCAGCGGCGCCATGTCCTCGAACGCGAAGTCATTATTTTCCTTTTTATTTTATTATGTCACGGGCAAGAACCAGACCTGTACAGTGGAGGTCACATACAGAGATCAAAGGTCAAATGTAATTTGCATTCGTCATAAGACCATTTATAAGGAAGGTCTTTTTATTATTATCAATTATCATTATTTTCTTTACCACAGACGTGGCCAGACATTTACAATGCTAACCAGCATATATACGTTTTCTTCTGTCCTCCATGGACAGGGTTAGAGATCTGTTAAACATATAGTTCAGTGATTTATTGAAGAATTAACCACAGAAGGTGATTATAGTGCTTTTAACATGCAAATCTAACCTACATACATACATAAATACACATATTACGTCTGTCCTACATAAACAGTGTTTGAGGTGTAAAGTCAGTCAATATGGGACATTCTACAATATATGGGTGTGGGGGGGGGGGGGGTAAAGGGGGCGAGGAGAGTGTGGAATAACACTGTCTGTCATACTATTACAGCGTCAGATATCAATACTACGCCAGAACAAATAACATACCTGAAGCGGGTTCTGGGAGTTCTTCTACTCCCCAAGCCCGACCCGAGGCCAGGCTTGACTTGTGAGAGTTTGGTCCACCAGGCTGTTGCTTGGAGCGGCCCGCAGCAGGCCCACATATACCTGGTTGATGGGGTTTCTGGGAGTTCTTCTACTCCCCAAGCCCGGCCCGAGGCCAGGCTTGACTTGTGAGAGTTTGGTCCACCAGGCTGTTGCTTGGAGCGGCCCGCAGCAGGCCCACATATACCTGGTTGATGGGGTTCTGGAGTTCTTCTACTCCCGAAGCCCGACCCGAGGCCAGGCTTGACTTTTGAGAGTGTGTGGTCCACCAGGCTGTTGCTTGGAGCGGCCCGCAGGCCCACATATCCACCACAGCCCGGTTGGTCCGG